TTTCATGTTGCGATTAATTGCTAATGCTTTTATCACGGTATTCGGTATTATCACGATATTGAAATTAGTTGCAAAAAAGTGTTGTCATAATACAGTATAACAGGTTTAATAACTTCGTTCTTATAACAAAAATAACTGAATATTTAAGTACAATAAAGCAATATATGAAAAAGTATAAAGTTAAAAACTTTACACAGATTAAAGTGCTAAAGAATGATGAAGACCAATAGGTATCGCTTTACAATAAGATCTCATTAGTTAGTCTTAGTTAATGCATGAGCAATAGCTACATTTGCTACAGAAGTTATTAATCTTTGTAAAAAAATACAACTGTTAGTTAGTTTGATTTTAACAACGTGTTATTAAATATTGGAATTACCTGAGATTAATGAATGTTCAGAAGAATTTTTCATTGGCAGTTTATGTTAACTAATGAAGCCCTAATGTAAAGTGTGACCGAACAAATGAAAAAATGAAGTCAAACATTTATTCTGCGTCTTTTTACAAAGCATTCTGTTGCAGCTGAATAACACGAGCAAAAATCAGCAGCCTACAAGAGAAACTTTTGCTCATGCTTTTAACAACAAAAACAACTAGACTAATACAAATTTCAAATATTAAAGTGTTAAAGACAAGTATTAAATAGGTCAAAAAACAAATTAATTATCAATAGCATAAATAAATACAACTGAACCAAATTTCAGGTACAGAAACTGTATTTAAAAGTTTAAAAAACACTGCATAGTTTTCTTTTCATAAATAAAATATAGATTAAAGTTATTAAAGATATTCAGTCAAGATGAGTGAATGATTTTCTTTTGTTCTCTGATTAACATTAATGACAGGCAGCGCATATTTATTAGGCTGCTGTCTCTTTAACACCGAACGCACGCAGATCTACAAATACTTGTTACACAAGCCTTTTCTTTCTCATCTGTTTACGTTCACTTAAGACAAAAACGTCTGTTTATGATGATAAACTGATGTAGTTTTCTGCATACTGGTCGATAAATATGAAAGAAGTCAGTTCCAGCTCCTGCAGTGGAAACGCATGGAACGGTTCGAGAACGGTTCGGCTCTTTCAAGCTTTGTAATGGCATGGGTGGGTGTTTTTGTTCAACAGTCCAAAAGTAGTCAAATAAAGTGCATCCATCCATATTAAAACATGCCTCACACGGCTCCAGGGGGAGAATAAAGGCCTCCTCTAGCGAATCCATGCGTTTTTGTAAAAAATATATCTATAGAGAGTGATTCTACATTAAAATACCTTCAAAATGATATATGACTTGTAGGAATCGGACAAAAAATTACTTGAGCTACAGCAGTTTGAAGACAATAGAGTCAGCAGAGTTGATTTCGAGAGAAATCGAGTTCAAGTTTTCTGAAGATTCCAAAGAAAAATCACAGAGCAACGTTGCATATTCTCCTCCAATTCTTTTCTTAATATAATTACTATATGTGACCCTGTAGCACAAAACCAGTAATTGAGATGTATGCATAATCTGAAAGCTGAATAAATAATCTTTCCATTGATGTATGGTTTGTTAGTATAGGACAATATTTGGCTGAGATACAACTATTTGAAAATCTGGAATCTGAGGGAGCAAAAAAATCTAAATATTGAGAAAATCATCTTTAAAGTTGTTCAAATGAAGTTCTTAGCAATGCATATTACTAATCAAAAATTAAGTTTTGATATATTTACGGTAGGACATTTACAAAATATCTTCATGGAGCATGATCTTTACTTAATATCCTAATGATTTTTGGCATAAAAGAGAAATGTATAATTTTGACCCATACAATGTATTGTTGGCTATTGCTACAAATATACCCCAGCAACTTCAGACTGCTTTTGTGCTCCAGGCTCACATATTATTAATTAGGGTTGGGTTTTGACACAAATTTCATGATTCGATTCAGTATGGATTATTTTGGATATATATCAGGTACAGTACATGCCAAATTTTCTCAAGGAAAATAAAATCTCTCAACTAATGCTGTAAAATATTCACGAGAGTCAGTTGGTACTACATTACTATAATATTGAAGGTTAAAATTGACTGATTTGTTAAAATTACACTTAATGAAGTTTTTAAAATAATAAAGTTACAATTACATAATAATATTTCTACTTCAAT